GCTCCCGGAATTAATTTATAAGTCCAAAGATGGTAGAATAATAATTATAAAGATAAACAGAAATGGAAGAACTACATGGATTGCAAATATTTACGCACCAAATCAGAATCAAGAAAATTTCTTCAAAGAATTAAAGGAGGTTTTAACCAAAGACAACCCAGAAGAGATATGTATTGCAGGAGACTTTAATGGCGTTTTTGATCCTATAGAAGATAGAAAGAAAACCAGAAAAACGCTTAAAGCAGGAACAACACTCCCAAAAACCTTTTTATTAACAGCGGAAGAATTAAGCATGATAGACATATGGAGAACAAGAAATCCAGGAAAAAGAGATTACACATACTTTTCCGCGAGACATGACTCGTGGTCTAGAATTGACATGATGTGGATAACTATAGGCATGGCAAAGGATGTGCTAGAAACTGAAATTCTCCCTAAGACATTCAACACATTCGCAGACCATAACCCAATGTGGTTAACACTACAGGAACCACAAAAAAAACCAAGATGGAGACTAAACACGGGAATGCTAATAGACAAAAAATTTGTAAAAGAGATCAAAAAAGAAGTGAAAGAATTTATAAATGTTAACAGAACAGAAAATATGCCGTTAACTATTATATGGGACACCTTGAAAGCAGTGGTGAGAGGCTTATTTATAAGACATCAAGCATGGAAAGGAAAGCTAAAACGTGAAAACCTAAAAAAACTGACAAAAGAGCTTAAAGTGGAAGAAGCAAAATGGAAGAGTAAGGGGGTTGTGGAGGAAACAAAAATTAAGATAAAACACATCCAACACCAAATAAACTTAATATTAACACAGGAAATAGCTAACCAAATCGAATATACCAAAGCGTATTATTTTGAGAATGCGAATAAACCAACACGCTGGTTAGCCTATAAACTTAGGAAAGAGAAAGAAAAAAGGACAATCTCAAGTCTAAAGAAGGTAAATCAAGAAATAAAACACAACCACCAGGATCTGAAAAATATTGTGGAAGAGTTCTACAAAAAACTATATAGTCAATCACCAACAGATCAGAAGGAAATTAAAGAATTTCTTGAAAAGCATAATACAAAGAAATTTAATGAAGAACAAAGAATAAGGTTAGAAGTAGTAGAAATATTGTTATAGAGTTATACACTACAGTGATGTATCTACTACTGATAAGCAAAAGAGTAGCTAGCAAAAAGTCCACTAATAGGAGAGGGAAGAGATGGAAACACAAGAACATAAGAACCCTGCTGGATCAGACCAATGGTCCATCTTGTCTCGCGACGGAAACAGGAAACTTACCCACATCATGGAATGAAGCATTAATATCTCTAATTCCCAAACCAAAGACAGAAGCAAATGAGATAAAGAACTATAGGCCAATATCACTCCTAAATGCGGATTACAAGATATTCGCGACAATATTAGCAGTAAGATTAAAAAAGGTGCTAACACAAGTAATAAACAGAGACCAATCAGGCTTCCTACCAAAACGTCAAATAAAAAACAACTTAAGAATAATAGTAGATATAATAGAATATTATGAACAACATCCAGGAAGTCAAATGGCAATGGTTTTTCTAGATGCGGAAAAAGCATTTGACAACGTAACCTGGGACTTTTTGAAAAGCAAGTTAAACCAATGGGAGTGTGGCGATAAATTTCAGACCCTGATAAATGCCATATATAAAGAACAATGGGCAAAGATAATCGTGAATGGAGATTTAACGCAAAATATCCCGATACAAAAGGGAACAAGACAAGGCTGCCCACTCTCACCTCTACTATTTATATTTGGTATTGAAACTTTAAACGATATGGTGAGGGAAAATGCAGGGATAACTGGTCTTAAACTAAAAGGTGAACAGTATAAACTTCTAGCATTTGCGGATGATCTGGTATTTATCCTGGAGGACCCCATAGCCTCGATTGGACACTTATTGAATACTATACAAGTATATGGGGAAAAAGCAGGTCTCAAAATAAATTTAGGAAAGACGAAAATAATAACAAAAAACTGTAACAAAATGGACACAAAAAATTTGCACCAGATATCCAATATAGAAGTAGTAAAAAAGGTAAAATATTTAGGTATTAACATTACAAACAATAATCTGAACCTCTACGATAATAACTATAAAGTGAGCCACAGCAGTATCCTTTTTACACTGTACTTTTTACAGCTCTGCAAAGTCCTTTTTGAGATACAGAACCAGAACTGTACACAGTATTCCAAATGAAGCCGCACCATAGATCTATATGGGCATTACAATATCATCAATTTTATTCTCAATCCCTTGTCTAATAATTCCTAACATAGAGTTTGCCTTTTTCACTGCTGCAACACACTGGGTTGACACTTCCACTGAGTAATAATAATTATTATCATCATATGGCATTGTGTGTTGAATAGCCAGGAGATCCAAATATTGTCTGGCAGCCGCAAGTTCTAGCTCTTAGCATTATGCATTATGAAGCTGTGGAGAGCTCTATACTGAGGATGGCAGAAATAACCAGCCAGTTCCCGCTTCCCATCTTAAACAAAACAAAGCATAAATGTTTTCAGTGTTTCTAGTGCATTCATCTTAAGCCAGCACACCTCATGAATGCACTAGAAACACTGAAATCATTTATGCTTTGTTTTGTGATGGGAAAGTGGGGACTGGCTGGTTATTTCTGCCATCCTCAGTATATAGCTCTCCACAGCTTTATTCATACACAAAACTACCACAAACTCCTCACGGGAAATGCAACTGGAAAAAATAGCAAGGCATTTGAAAAAGTGGGGGAGGCTGCAAAGGGAAAAACCATCCTTTTGAAGTATCTGGTTGAGGCAGGCAAATAGGGACATTTCACAGATGAAAAAATTAATTGCATCATATATGGACATCAAAGGCTACGGATGAGATGGCTGCAGAGATATGGATGCCCGGGAGAATTTGGCAGAACAAGGGTACCCTTTGTCACTTTTTTCCACAGCCAGAGCTCAAACCAAGAAGATAGCCATTTTCAATCATGGAAACAACCAGGGTGGGGGATGGTAACCTCCATCTTCCCCTGAATTGTCACCTCAGTCCAGATCCTCCTTCCCCACCAGCTATTTTTGCAGTTTAATTTACATGTCAGGGTCCCCAATGCTTCGTGTAGTTTTGTCCTCCGAATATATTTAATGGGCGCCACTGATTGCTACTTGATATGTTGTTACTGACTGATGTTATGCTGGATTTTTAATGATTGCTGACATTATGTCTAACTATCGTATTGTGTTATTTTACTTATTGTTGTAACCAATGTTCCCTCTAAGCTGTGGAGTCTTGTGAGCCAAAAATTCTATTTTGTGAGCTACTGGCATTAAAGTTGTGAGCAGGCAATCTGGCTACTGCATAAGTCAGTTGGCCTTGGAGTCATCCTTCCTGAGCTATGACAAAAATGTGAGCTGGAGGCTAAAAAACTGTGAGCTAGCTCACACTAACTCAGCTTAGAGGGAACATTGGAATCCACCCTGAGCCTTGCTGTGCAGGGGAGGGAGAGCTAGAAATCAAATAAATAAATAAATCATATTGAGATTCACTCTTTCAAATTCTACCCTGTTGAGGGTGGGTCTCACCCTCTCTGAGTGAGACAATTACTGTTTTGATTGGATCATATTTTTAAATCATCCAAACTTTGGAACTTATCCCCCACCACACACACATACCCCTTCCTGTTGTAACTATTAAATGGACAGATACTTCAGTGCCTCTGATGAAGTGAGTTCTGAGTCTGACTCACAAAAGGCAATGCTGGCACAACTTCTTCCAGGTGCCACTGGACTCCTGTTTTCCTTTGCGGCTGCAGACTCATAATTGCCTCTCTGGAATTATCACACTTTACCCTGTCTCTGGAATGCCAGACTGAGGGAAGAGATCTGCAATCACCATTCTAGGGGGAGAAACACCACAGGTTGTTTCCATCACCCTCTCCCCTCCTTCAAGTAGGACAGTGATTCGAGGGCATAGTCCTGTACAAAACTTAAATGCTAAAATGATTAAGGTGTTCTAATTTAGGAGTACAATAAGTAAGCTCTGCTACAGCATAAGGACTGAACAGTGCAATCTGGAGCACTTTCCTAGGAGTAGTAGAATAGACCCAAATAGGACTCTGAATAGACCTGTTTAGGATGACACTGTCATAGAATGAGCTGTCATCCAGGAGGCTGCCAGTTCAAATTTCATCTCAGGCACAGAATTGGCCCTAGGCTAATAATCTTACAGCTGTTCATATTTTCTTAAGATGTTAATACTGATACTACAATTATGGTTGCAGAATTCTTAGCAGAATCAGCCGCACTTAGATACAGTCTTTTTACATAATATGCATATTTTATTGTCTAAATTTCCTTACTGGAATTAAATGCTTCTTAAATGTATTTATTCTATCCTATTATGCCATTAAAGGTGTCTGAATCTGAATCTGGCCCTAGGCAAGCTATTTTCTACCAGCCTCTCATCAAAGAGGAAGATAATAATACTGGCCTACCTTACTGAGCTGCTGTAAGGATTACTCTGAGAATCAATATGACATGCTTCGAATGCAAAAGCACTGCAGACATGCCAAGTACACATGTCCTTCCTCAAGGCAGGGAGCCTTGGCTCATTCAGTTCCTGGCACCTCCAGTTAAAGGATTCCCGGCAGCAAACCTTAGGGGTGGTCTGTCTCTGCCTGCGATCTTGGAGAGGCGCTGTCACTGGAGCTAGGCAACTCGGACTGGAGGATGCGAAACAACCCCCCCCCCCCCCGAATTATTTCTGTGGGCGGCAGCAGCCTTCTCTCTCTTTGGTGTGGTTTTCACCGAGGAGCGGCGGCGGCAGCTCGGAGTGGACAAATCAAGCAAGGATTCCCCGCTTACCCAAGTGGCGTCTTCTTGCTACCCCAGCCCGCCATCTCCCCCTCCGCTTTCGGCGGCCCCAGGTGTGAACGGGAAGCTGCCTCACCTGCCGGGATCCTTGAATGAAACTTAACTTACCCAGGAAGGCGTTCACGAAGCCGTACCACTGGCAGGCTGCCCGACCCAGGAGCCAGCGGCCGTGCACGCTGGCGGCGAAGCTGAGCGGGGTCCCGAAGACGCACACCAGGAGGTCGCTGAGGCTGATGTTGAGCAGGATCAGGTTGATGGGCGTGCGGACGGCCCGGAACCTGGCGAAGATCAGCACGACCAGGAGGTTGTTGAGGCAGCCGAGGAGCAGGATGACCCCCAGGCACACGGCCACCGCCACCAGGCCCTTGCGACCCAGGCGGTCCTCAGCCGAAGCCTGCAGCGGACCCTCTACGCTCAGGTTGCCGCCGCTTCCCCTCGCGCTCTGGTTGAGGCTCTGGTTGCCTAGAGCTGGGTGCATGGCCGCGGCAAGGGCGCGCTGTCAAGTCGGGAGGCTGATCTGGCACCCGGTGCGCCTTTACGCACGCTCTTGGGTACTGGGCGCTGTGCGTTCTGGTCTGAGACAAACCTGGGAGCGCAGCTCCATTTTTCTCCTGGCGTCAGGGAATCGCGGTTCCCTGGAGAGTGCCCGAGAGGACATTCGAGCCCTCGCCCAGGAAAACACGCGCCCAGCCTTCTGTTCGACTTACATGGGCGGTGACGCCCTGCCCTCTGGGCCCTGACCATCCCCGAGGCCCCGTTCCGTGAAACTGTGTATGAAAGGCACTGGCCGAGGATCTAATCAGCACCGTGGGCCAAGGCCAGCTCCCCAGGGCAGATGCGCTCTTTCTATCTGGATTGTCCATGCCGGACCAGAACCAAGTGCGCTGTGGGTGGTCCAGCTTGCCCTGAGTTGAAGACGGGACAGTGCCAGAAGCAAAAAGACGCTGGCCGGTCGAGTGAAGATCATTCCTTGTACCATCGTGTCCTGGACTGATCTCATGCCGACTTGATAAGCGGGTGCAAAGTTGCGGTCCCAGAACTAGGGCGAGATACCGCGCAAGGGGATAATGACACACCAAGGGTGTTTTTCTTTCTCGAAAGTGCTTTTCCCACGTGGATGCAGCGGAGGATCTGGACCCCAGACGGCTCCCTGACTTTCCACTCTACCCCCGCCTCTCCCCTGCCTGCCCCGCACCTGTGAAGCAGCGACCTTCTCCCTTCATTCCGATTGCATGCGGACGACGAGCCAATCTTACCGTTTGACTACCACACGCCAAGAGCCTACAGCGATCCATAAAACATTGTCGGGGGTTATGTCACACAATCTGAAATCCTCTTCCCAAGCCTTGCCTTGGTTTCCGATTCCTAGTTTTGTGTAACCAGATCCTGGGAATGTTTACTGCAAAATAAATATCCTAGTGGCATTTTTATGATCAGTTACACAATGCATCAGTTACACAATGATCAGTTACACAATGGTATACACAATGCATCTGCACATCTTTAAGGTGCCTGCAATGGACAAACACGGTTATCACTCTATAACCGTGTTTGTCCGTTGCAGGCACCTTAAAGATGTGCAGATCCATTGTGTATACCATTTTGTGGAGTAGAACCTACCAGTGTTCCCTCTAAGCTGAGTTAGTGTGAGCTAGCTCACAGTTTTTTAGCCTCCAGCTCACACATTTTTGTCTTAGCTCAGGAAGGAGGGCTCCAGAGAAAACTAATTTATGCAGCAGCCAAATCACTCGCTCACAACTTTAAGGCCAGTAGCTCACAAAGTAGAATTTTTGCTTAGAGGGAGCGCTGGAGCCCACTGCATCTGACCCAGGCCTATAGCTACAGTGGGGCATCTTGGGGCCAGGCCCCCTGACTTACCACCCAGGCCTCCCAACTTCCCATCCAGCCAGTTTATTTTATATTTCATGAGCACCATTCCCATGCTGCACTGAGCCATTGCCCTGCCCACCGGTTCTCTCTCTCTCTCATCACTTTTAAAAACTGTTACTCTCTTGCTCCTGATACAGCCGGGGTGTGTGTGGGGGGGTGCCCCTCAACTTATTTAAATGCCCCCCAGAGTTAAACATCCTGGCTATGGCCCTGATCTGACCTATGAAAAGGATTGCATGTCAATGTCGCTGCCTTTTGACCACCACCCCTTTGCAGTTTTTCTCTCTACTGGGGTGTATGCATGCACACATGTGCTCACATGCCTGCCATGCCTCTCAGAGTTAGTTCTCCACCAAAGTGACTGCACAAAGAGGACCAACTCACTTCCAGTCATGGGGAGATGGATCCTGATCCTACCTTCTGGGACCAGGCCACCACTATCTGGATCCAAGCAAGCCAAGTCCCCCTGGTGTTGCTACAGCAGCCTGGCTTGGACCCAGCCAGTGAGCACAGGAGGGGACGGCTGTACCTTGCCTGGGGCAACAAAATACCATCAGCTGGCCCAGCTTCCAACCAAGGACACACTTCATTGCTCTAAGAGCCCAATCCCATGTGTTTTAACTCAAAAGTAAACCTGACCATGTTCCAGTATGTTAATTCCCAGCAGCTCAGGCTTGCAGGCACCCTAAATTCTGGTCTGTGAAAGCTTCTGCTAGTGGGAATTTGCCAACCTTTAAAGTGTCACCAGAGGAGCTGGTTCAAGGTATTTTGTCACCTCAAGTGAAAGATGCCTGCTATCTCCTCCAAAGCAAGTAAACAAAGGCAAACGGGACCACAGTGTATAAACAACAGAAACCAAAAGACTATAAACACTGTGGATGCAAAAATATAATAACTCTCAATATTGGATGTAATGTATGGAATAAATGAACAAAGACATCTCCTCCAGCCAGGTGCAAACTGAATCCCTTCAGCTCTGGAAGTCAGAGCCAGATTTATGTAAATTTAAGCTACAGCTTGAGGCCTCAAGATGGTGAGGGAGGGAGTCTCAATCTGGCCCTGCTAGCATTGCCACAGGGGCTCAATATTACAACCCCTGATCCAGGCTTTTCTCTTATTTTATGCCACTTTGCCAATAACAGGACCTTTAGGCTGGAGAGTCATGATTCACCTCATCCTCATCTGTTTCCATCCCAAGTCCACTATTAACTTTAGGTGTGTGAGGTACATTTCTTTTATTAGTGTATCTTTTTGTTGTTTTTCAGTCACACAGTCCAGTCCGACCCTTCGTGACCCCATGGGCCACACCATGCCAGGCCCTCCTGTCTTCTGTCATCCTCTGGAGTTTGCTCAACTTCATGTTCGTTGCATCTATGACACTGTCTAACCATCTCATCCTTTGCTGTCCCCTTCTTCTTTGACCTTCAATCTTTCCCAGCATCAGGGTCTTCTCCAGTGAGTGCTCCCTTCTCATTTCGTGGCCAAAGTATTTGAGCTTCAGCTTCAGTATCTGGACTTCCAGGGAACAGTCAGTGTTGATGTCTTTTAGGATTGATTGATTTGATCTCCTTGCAAGTGTGTCTTTTACACACCTAGATAACTTAATCCTGCACCAAAGAGCACATCAGCTACAAATCAAGACCCCTTTTAATCCTACAGAGTGTCTAGTGGGTTATATGGGCTGAGGATAACATGGGAGTCATATATAACAAAACACATAAGCTTATTTAGTTTGTAAGCATGACCTGTAATGCCTTCCTACTCTAGCCTGGTAGCTGACACAGATACTAGAGCTGGGAGGTGTGTTATACTGAAAGGTTACAATGTTGTTTCTTTCATAATTAGACAGCTTGAACAAGTTCACTGTTTTTATCTGGGAACAGCATCCAGACTCCGCCTGTCAAAAACAATCACTACAGTCCCTACTGGATTCCCTGCCTACTCCAAGATACCCCCTATCCCAGTGGTGGTGAACCTATGGCACGGGTGCCAGAGGTGGCACTCAGAGCCCTCTCTGTGGGCACGCATGCCATCGTCCCAGCCAGGCCCAGACCATCATTAAAGTGTCGAATTTTCTGCCAAATAATTTTAAGTAAATGAAAGCATTTGGGATTGCTTTCCTTACTTTGTTGGGATCATCTTAAATTAATGTATGAGTTGTTTTTTCTAAAGTAAAACCTCAGTATTCAGGTTAAATTGCAGTGTTGGCACTATGAGATAAATAAGTGGGTTTTGGGTTGCAGTTTGGGCACTCGGTCTCTAAAAGGTTCGCCATCACTGCCCTATTCCTTCTCCCTCCAAAACACAACTGTTCTATTTGTCCTTTGATTGTTGACAGTCATACTTCCCTTAGGTTCCCCCCCCTTCTAGCATTCCATTCTGCCTGTTTGAATCTGATTGGTCAGTTCAGAAGGGGAGAAAAGAGAGTGGAATGTTCTCCTGTCCATCACACTCAGTTTGGACCTATCTAGTTGGGGGTGCAGGTTCTGGAGAGGAAGACAGGCACAGGCAATGTCCCATCTAAGCTGTCAAGTGTTGTGAGCAGAATTGTACCTCATGAGCCAAATGATCTACCAGCCTTAAAGGTGGTGAGCAGGCCTACATTTTTTATTTATATATATTTATTTCAGTTCACAAACATATAAAACATACAAACATGAAATATAAACTACTAGTTGTATTACAAATCATGTATGTATAACTTACTTATATTTGCTTTTAATATTTCATTTGACTATCACATACATTAGTTTTTTAGATTACTACCATCGCCTTGTAAAAATCTCAGAATGCATTCTTTTAAACCATATTTTAGGAATTATTTAAACATTAAACATTACAAGTGAAAACAGAATTAAGTCAAATTCCATTACAGATTTTTTTAACTTCTCTCTTCTTCCTTTCTCTGTTTTCCAGAACCTGAAAACATGTCAGTATTAATATTGTTCCCATTAGACATATGCAATTTAATCTTCATTAAGTTTTCCAGATGATCTGGAAACCTACAGTTTCAGGTGATCTGGAAACATTTGTGTGACATAAACCCCGACAATGCTTTATGATCTGGAAATCTACTGTTGTCTGAAGCCAGCCTGGAATTTTAGGAATTTTTAAGATCTTCCCTTTTTAAATCAGATACTACTTTTAACTGTCTGCCTTTTGATTTTAGCATGTTTTTCTCTGTTTTCATCTCGCTGTATTGTTTTATAATGAGCTGCCCTGGAGATGTTTAACTGATAAAACAGGGCAAATAAATAATAAACAAATGGCCCAGCTTAACTGGTTTATGGGTCTGTTGGATAAAAAATGAGAGTTATGCCCCAGGCAAAGCGAAGTCCTTTTGAGGAACATTTTATTCAATAGGATGTGTATAAACATGTGCTGAACTCTCCCATTGAAACCAGTGATGTTCTTCTTCTTTTTTGTGTATTTGTGTGTGTGTGTGTTGACTTCTGGTGACCCCTAGTGTAGCTTGGCCATTTCGAAGAGGTGGCTTGCTGTTGCCTGCCTCTGCATACCGGCCCTGGTATTTCTTGGAGGTCTCTCATCCAAGTACATGCTGGGGTCTACCCTGCTTAGCTTCCAAGATCTGACAAGATAGGGCTTGCCTGGGCTATCCAGGTCAGGGCCATGAAACCAGCAATGTTCTAAGAGGCACGGCTTTGGCTAGATTGTGTCCTTAGCATTTGTTTTTGGAGAGCCAAAGGAAAGCATATTAGGCTTGCTGGAAGGGTCATAAATCAAAAGATGGGCTCATTTTTATATCCCTGTAACAGCCACAATGGAGTC